GGGGCAGTGATGACAGCGTGCGGGTGGCCACGTCCGCCGCCTCCTTCCCCCACGGAGGAGGTCTCTCTGCATCCCGAGAGCTGTGGACCAGGCCAGGGTGGAGGATCCCTGCGACGGGTGTCTTGTCTTACACAGGTTGGCAGGGCAGATAATATCCCTGGCGGAGGGACAGACGCTGCGCAAGCCCGTTTTAGAGAGGCTGTAGGTGTGGCTCAGAGTTGCCTCCTGCACGAACTGGTCCTCCGCTCCTTTTATAAAGCCTTACGTGGCTTTTCTCCGTGAATCTTCTCACCCTGCCCTTTCCCTCTCAAGACACCGCGTTTCCTGTCGTTTTTCTGGCTTGAAAAATAGATTTCGTTGTGGGGATTGAGTTGAACGTCAGGCTCCACAGCCGTTCTCGCAAAGCACGAGCAGGAGAAGTTGCGCTGAAAACGGTGACGCTGCCTCCTTCCTGTCCTTGCTCCCGCAGCAGGCTGGGTGCTTGTGATTTTCTGTTCGAGGATGCCACTAGCTCGTCTAGATTTACTCTGGCTTCTCGACGCCTGCCGGACCACGGGCAGGAGTCGCCTTAGCCTTCCTTCCCTTGCTGAAGGCATCCAGCGCTTGCGTGCGCCGCGGGCAATAACACAGGGACGTCCCCTGGGATTCCCTGTGCCCCGACTTGACGAGCAGCAGCCCATCTCCGGAGAGGCTGTTTCCGGAGAGGGTGGCAGCAACCCGCCTCGTGCGAGCGGTCGCCTCCGCCTGCCAGCCTGATCCCGCCGCTTCCCTGCTCCCATCTGCTTTGTGCCCTAGGCGAGGTGCAGCTGGCCGGGTTGCACATCCAAGCTTTGGTGGAAGCCGGCGTGAAGGCCCGAGACGTTGCCGTTGTAGCTCCCTACAACCTCCAGGTGAGGTGATCCCCCTCCAGGCACCCCCTGTCTTTCCCCCCGCACACCGAGTAGACGCCCGGTGTGTGTGGGGGATGGATCCAAACCTTGGCGTCTCCGGGGGCCAGAGCAAACCATCTCCACAGGGTCTCCAGGCTCTTCCTGGTGGAAGTCAGCGGAGCCGAGCTTTTTGATCAATGTGTGGCCAACTTCTCAAACGTTAAGCCGCTCGAGGCCGCGGAGGGATGTGGTATCAGAGACGGCGTCAGGAGGCAGCTGTTTTCCGTTCCCCCCCCCTCAGGAGCCAACACTTGCCTTTTGGGAGGGGTGAGCCCCAATCCGCGTGAGAGGAAGGGACTTTTTCCAGCATAGCGCCACTTTAATCCTTTTCACTTCGCGCTTTCCTTTAAAGGCTATATATCACACGCTTGTTTTTTCAGGTGGACATGCTAAGAGAGCACCTTGGCCACAGGTACCCGGAGCTGGAAATTAAATCAGTTGATGGTTTCCAGGGAAGAGAGAAAGAGGCGGTGGTCCTCTCGTTCGTGAGATCCAACAGGAAGGGTGAGAAGTCACTGCTCAACAGTTAGTCTGTGGAAAATAGAAAGGAAATAGGAGGTGGGTGATCGTTAAAAGGTCACTCGTCATGTTGCTAAATGCTGGGGTTTAATTGCAACTCTTAACGGTTGCAATTCACTGGCACTTTGCTCTGAACAACTTTAGCAGAAAGACCTTTCCTTTTGTCTTCTTTTTTTTTTTTTTGTTATTTTTTTAACTAATACATTTGCTGTCATGATTGCAGAGGAAGGCTCCCACGCTAGGAAGCAGGTAAAAAGGAAGCCAGCGCTGCTTAATATGAAGGTTTCCTGGCCGTTGAGGTCTCAAAAGTTATTTGAATTGGGGTCCTAAGGTTGGCAAACGTCAGGTTAGCGCTGCGTTTACTAGAGTGCCACGCGCTTCCTGCAGAAGGTGGGACTTTGGGGCTCATTTCTTGGATTTGGAGCCTTTTTTGGGCCCCTTCCCCAAAGAGAGCGGCAGCTGCCATTGCAAGTCATACATAGAAAATGCTTCTTCTGGGAGCCAAACCTAGAGCAGAAAATCGAGTTCTTTCCTGTCGGTGGCTGCCGTGAAAGCGAACAGCTGGAAAAAAAAGCTCCTGCCCTCAAGGCTGAAGGCTCCTTTGGTGGAGCCCGTGGCGAAGGGTTTCGGGTCAGCCGGCTGGAGCGGAAGGGCACGTGCGGAGCCGGTGGGGTTGCACCGTGAGCCACCCCTCTCCCGTGCACGGTTCGCTGCCCTTTTAAAACCCGCAACGAGACGCATCGCTTGCGGCGCCGTCTACGCTGCTAACGCCGTTAAAGACGGGACACCGTGCGCGTGCGTGGGGAGGGGGAGCCCTGATGTCTCGAACGAAAACCGGGGAAAGGATGCGGGGAAGGAGTGGGTTTTTGGTGTTTTTTTGTTTTAAAGAAAGCCTGAAGCAAGAAAAGCGGTGCGGGGAGGAGGATGGAGGCGGGGACAGGGTTAAGACTAGTCAGGAGCGACTCACCTCACCTTTGCTGGGTGGCTGAGCGGGATCTGCTGGCCTCCGCGAAGGCACGTGTGTGTCCCCCCCCCCCGCCCCGCTCCCACAGACCGCGCGA